AACAATGAAATTTCATGAGATTTTGAAAGTAAAATAGATCGATACCGCGTTTTTAGTATAGGAAATATATTTGAGTATATTATTTTTCAAAGTGTCAGAAATGGATAACAAAACTGCTATTTTCAATGACTACTTATTTTTGTCCAGCTTTAACATCGGTATTGATATCGGTTATCGGCTACATGAGTTTTAAAATATCGGCATATCGGATATCGGCCAAAATCCAAATATCGTGCATCCCTAGTAACTACCTTTCAAGTCTCCCATAGGCGCATTTTTGTGTTTGTGTTAATTTAGTTGTTGCGCTCTTTGTTCTAGGACTAACATCTATAGTCATTCCTGGGAAGGATCATCACCTTTCTATGTTGTTTCTCAATTTGTGGATAATTAGTCTGCTTAATATGATTAAATGTTTCATTCATTGAATAACTGATTTCAAATTAGCCAAATTTAATCAAAAATATGTATCTATATTGTAAAGACATTGGATTATTTCAAGATTTAAAAAAGGGATTAAAAATCAACATATGTCTCCTAAAAGCTTCTTAGATCCAACTAAGAAAAGGAATTATTTATGAGTGATGATCCATGGCGCAGTTAAAGCACTCCTAATTCTTATCAAAGTATTGCTAACTTATATATTTTCATAAACCTAACTCCATCAGTGTGGGCGGTTGCAGATTTTTTTAGGTTTCATTCATCAAGAGCAAAGGTCCAGCCCAAACGCCACCAGGTGTTGTGAAGATTTTTTGCAAAGAGAAGCGCTCTGAACTCTAGAAAAACTCTAAAATGGAGGACGGATTTACTGTTTTTATGTTTTGTTAGGTATTATCTTTTTTTTTATTTAATCACACCAACTAATATATCATTAAATGCCTACTTCAATCATTGAAACCAAAAAGAAGGGATGAAACCCTGAGTTTTTCTTTACAGCACAAAAAAACAAACAAAACATGTTCATTTAAAACCAAACCAAGAGGCTTTGGCAACCAAATAAAAGTATTCTGACATGCTGAGACCGAACTCACACAAAGACACAATAGTAACAACAACCACAAAGGAGATGACTGGGAAGCGGGCTGACTGGTGATATATGGCACTGATTAGCTGCTGGAGTTTAAATGACCTCATTCTCGGTGGGGAGGATGGCAATTAAGGAGCAAAGATGATCACTTTGTCAGATGAATAAACGGCTGTGAAAACTCCTCCTAACATAAAATCTGTGCAAGGATTCTGAATGGAAATTAGATCCGATACTGATGAGTTCATTTTGTTTCACTTCAGTGGATATACTAGTTTGTTTGGTGCAAACAGATTAGATTAAAATAGCCCTATTTGCTTCTACTGTACAGTATATTTACAGTTGTTTTACATCCAAAGTCTGCCATCAGTTGCATAAAGTTGCTCCTTCAGATGTAAAAATGTTTCTTTGTAAAGTCCATATAGGTTCTTGTTTTGCTACATGCAACTCCACGGTCATAAAACTTTACTGACTATTATTTGACTCTACTTTTTCTCTCTAAAATATACAAAAAAAAAAATCATCTGCAATATTAATCACTGACTGCACTATTAATAATGGATTCATATTAATTTACAACTTTTCACAACTTACAAAATCTACAATCAAAGGAATCTTATCCTGATATGTTGGAGATACTTTATCTATTGTATCAATAAAGTCTAAAACAAAGATCATGCTCACTTGGTATATGGATATAGCTGGGAGCAATGTATATTAGTCACACAGTTTAAATTACTCGCTTTTTCCCTTTTTGGCTAAAGTCTTAATTAAATAAAACAATAAAACAAACAGTCAGGAGAAAACTGTCCGTAGAAACTCTGTGCTTCCTTAATTGCAGGTAAAGGTGGACAAGATCAAGAGTTGGGTGAGAGAAACACGACAACACAACTAGAGCAATCTCAGAACCAGGATAGAAGAGGAGAAATGAAAGACGGACACATATGCACATCAGACATAGAGGGAAGAACTTGGAAAGAGAACAAGCTGGAGGAAAAGAAAATATTTCTTTTCATTGGAAAAATCCAATGAAAAGGTGCAAGACTAAGAAACTTACGCAGCGATGGAAATGTTAGCAGCTGACATCGGACTGACTTCTTTTACTTCCAGAGCTTTCTGCAGAGCTAGCTTCTTGTTGGCTGCCTCCTCCTGCTCCTCTTCATCCTTTAAATCAGTTTAATCAACATTTAAAGCTGGAGCACAGGTAAAAATGATACAACACACACAGAAATACCTAATGGATTCTCCAGAATAATACAGGGACACACTAACAGAGCCCACCTTAGTCAGCTCCTGGGCATTGGCGAGATTATCCACAGCAATGGCCAAGAAGACATTCAAGAGAGTATCTGAATGACGGCATTCAAGGAAAGGATTGTTTTAACAGTAAAAAAGAAAATATATAAACCCTTTAATCTACCATACTTAAAAAACAAATCCCACTATTGCAAACATTTTCCAACTTTAGTTTGCATACAGGTCTGAGAGATAGTCAGGTATTACAGTAGATTTCAGGGTATATTCATTGATTATTTAAAACAACGACTTGAACTACAGTGTGCCTCTTATATAACTTTAGCACCTCTTACTTCAGAATGACCTCCACAGTAGTAGCCTGGGTGCCATTCTGAACTTAGTCCCGCCCACAATGTTTGAATTGGGGAAGTTCGGTCTGGCATTGTTCAATATTAGCGCGAGTATGCTGGCACAAGATCTGGCGGGCCAATCAGATTGTCAGAGCGGGCTTTATACGATGATGGACAGATGATCAACAGTAACGTAATCAACCACGTCACCAAAGCGCGCTTGGGTGACAACAACAATGGCTGCCGCTGGAGAGTTGAGGTGTGTAGATTCTGCTTTTAGGTCTGTTCTAGAAGATATCGACAGCAAATTAATTTTAAAAGAGGAACGCGATCAAGGCTCATCTTCTCATTCTAGGCGTGCAACTGCACGCTTTGATTTTTGTTTGCAACAACTATGCATCGCTTAACACACGTCACACACTCCATTGCTCTTATTGGTTGTAGGTCTATCCAATTGAGTGCAGAGGCATTTTTTTTTTCCTGGTTCGTTCAAAACACGCCCCATAATCACAGCTCTATGGAGCTGTATCAGACTCATAGTCTGACAAAAAATTGAGTAGGACTAAGTCAGGCTACCACAGTAGTGCCACAAAGGCTAATACATCTAAATTAGGTTGTATGTTAAAAAACTGTAAAATTGCACCTTGATTTCAAGAAGTTTCTGTACCTTAAAAATTAGTTATGTTCTAGCTATTTTGGTGCAAATCCCCTCAGTTTTTTCAAGAATCTATCAGTAGCATAAGATAATGCCGGAAAAAATAAGAGAGAAGGAATTACGCAAATAAAATCTAAAAATGTGCAAAAACTTCTTTTTCATGCTGTGGCTCTAGGATACTTGTATTGGAAATCTCAGCCAAGATTGACATCATCATTATGCTGGTTTAGCCTGCTGTGGAAGTGGCCTAAGCAGCTGATGCGCCAATTCATTTATAGAAATACTAGGTCATATAACTGTCGAGTATGTCCCTGCTGACATTTTGCTTATTGCATACTTAAAAATGTGTACAGAATTACAGGATTTGTGACAGTCACAATGCTAGTAGGAAAAAGAAAGCTGTTGCTTTCAATCAGCCAATTTAATATCTCCGACAAGAGGGGGAAACCAGACCAGTTGTCCCAGGCCCATGATTGAGGGGGGAACCTCAATCAGCCCCTATATATTTTGCCTCAAATAGGACTTTTTTAAAAAGATGTTTGCAAAATTTGAGCTTTATTCTTAAGTTTTATAGTTTTTTTTTTGGTATTACTTTCTTTTGATTAGCCACTGCAATATTGGGAAGCACCCCCACCAGCCTTCATGCCACTGATGCAGTTTCTTTCAAACGTATTCATATTAATACACAGGGCTGGCTGTAATGAAAGCGGAGACAGGAAAATACAGAACCTGAATCTTCTGCTCTACGGTCAGGCAGCAGCTCCTTCACTTTAACATGAAGGGTACAGCAGCTCTCATCTGAAGGAGCCTCCTCAAGCCGCAGGAACAGCTTTAGATATGACTGAACTTTAGATCGACCTCACCTGCAAACGCCTGAAAAAGCAGTCATAGCTTGTAAGCGCTCTGATTTTCAGTTTCTGTTTCTCACATTTTCTGTTAAGGGTTTGTTCCCTATCTTTACTAGATTAAGTTTAGATTAATTTATAATTAAGAACAGACCAATGGGTTTTGTTAAAAGGTTGAGAAGTTTGAAGTTCTGAAGTGCCCCATCCTCAGCTGCAAAAATGCTGCAGTGGATGTGAATAAATAGAGATTATAAATATATATATATATATTTACAGATGTGTGTGTGTATGTATATATACTACATACAAAATATAAAATCACCGACTCTTCAATTCTGTTCCGGGCCCAGCAAAGGCTGTCAGCTGGCCTGTTAGTCACCATTAACTATTAAAGTTGTAGGGAAACGGTTGTTCCCACCGTTGCATTTCCGAAATCTCCCGAATGGTGCACAACTTTACACGAGTGAATAAAAAGAATGAGAATGTTTTGTGGCGGAAGGTTCGCACAAGTTTGGTTGTGGCCGGTGTCTCGTAAGCATCTTGCTAACCATTTAGCAACTTAGTGCTAGTAGGTTCCCAATTGGGAAATTCCATTGGGACCAAGTAGCGCTAAATTGGTGACTTAGAAAACGACACTGTCAAGGAACGCTATGGACAGCGGAAACATGCAAGAGAAGGAGAGTTTTGAGTCAGAGGTCGTGGATGAGTCTCCTCCGTCATCCATTTTTTATTTAGAGGAGGAAAGCGTGACGAAGATGTTGTGGAAGAGGACGCCAGGGCGGCAGAAGCTTGGTTTGGTGTAGAAGGCTTCCAGCCGTACATGTTTGAGTCGTTGCCTCGCAACGCTGACAGTTCTGTTCGCTCTACGCCTGCTGAAGACACAGACGTCCATCCCTGTGAACACTGGGACGGAACTCAATGGGAAAGGAAATTATTCTTATTTCAACTGTTTCATATATTAGCTGCGACATATGAATCAAGATGCTATGATCGAAAATAATTGGGTTGACAGATGACCATTGATATATGATTGGCCGAATTTAGGTGTACACGCTGACGTATAACTAACTGGCCTGCATAAGATAACGGAAAAACCCCCCCACAGATTTTAAGAGAGGATTTTTTCTTAAATAGAAATTTCTAAATTTTGGGACAATATAATCTGATAAAAAGTACATTTATATACATGTTTAACCCAAAATGATTTGACATTTAAATGTGACTTCCCTACGACAAGAACAAGCGGCAACAATGACATTTCTTTTTGTGAAGAGATATGAAAAAGTGTCCTGATCTTTACCAGGATCTTTCCTTTTCTATTTAAAATGGAACAAAAATGAAGACATTTCACTATGAGGTGCCCCCAGGGACATAAATCAGAATTAACTTGCATATACACATATTAAATTACACTTTTCCATATAATATACTGAAAACCTCACACAAACACTAGTTAAAAGCTATCACGTAAACTAGTGAAAAC